ACCGGCACCCGGCCCTACACCCCCGCCCACCCCCCACCCACACCCGCACCCACCCACACCCACACCCACACCCACACCCACACCCACACCCACACCCACACCCACCCACACCCACACCCACACCCTGTGGGCGTGGGCGTGCATATAATTAGAAACACACTCCCACACACCCACACCCCATACTCTATACCCACACTCTTCGCCTACACTGTACACCCACATCCACGTCCACGCCCTCGTAAACAAGACAGAAAAGTGCTATGCAAAGGGAAACCGAACTGATCCTTACAAATATTGTGAAGATATACTAAAAATAGCGCTAAAATGCTCACCGTGCTGAAATCTATCGATCTATATGGTTTTCAGAATGATTCGTCAAAAAAAAATGATTGTGGACCGATTTATTGCCTTATGCGCTCTCTTCTTTGTGGGGTTATGAGAAAATATTATCAAATGTATCACAGATGATCAAACAAGGTATTTAAATATGTTTAGCATTGATCAAGCATGTCAAAAAAAGTTTGCTATCCATTTCTCTTTCTTGGGAATAGTAGCTTGACAGCTCTGATATGATTTTAATAAAGTACCAAGCATTGTCGAAAGGTTGCAATAAATCATGCATCACTTTTATCAAAAAATCAATAACAGAAGTGATAACCATTCCTCACGCCGTTGAGTGAATACTACTAATAAAAAATCACCTCGCGTCAATGTGCAGAGTTGAATGTTGAAACGCACATCTTCGCCAAGCCTATGTTGATTCTTTTGAGTTTACTGTTCACTGCGTCTTGGTTTCAGGTTTTGTTGTCGTCACAACGTCGCCTGTATCACACCAACGATCATTTCGATTGCTTGTACTCGTATGTTATAGATGAAAATGGAACGCAGTCGGACTCACTTATACCATATTGTTTACGTTCTCAGTATACACCGATTATAACAGAATGCTATGGTAAACGGCTTACATTTAAAGCTCTTAAATCAATTGGAGTGACCATTGCTGATCTTGACGCATGGAACGCTGCCGTGGACACTATGAATAGCTATGCTCTTTACCTGGAAGGGATAATATCAACTAATCAGCAAGTTTTTTGCAATTGTAGCGATGCAAATTGGTTTGGTTCCAATTGTGAATACACTCTTATTGGCACTCAGCTGGAGCAGTCCTTTGCCGATATCATCAATACTCGTTTTCAACAGAAAGAACGAATGAAAACTACTCCTGGTTTTGTAGCAAATGTAACATGTTATCATGGATTAATATGTAGCAGTGTGATATGTCTCGATTGGCGAGACATTTGCAACGGAATTGTTGATTGTGTGGATAGTGAAGATGAGCGAGATTGTATATCCCTCGAAACAAATGAGTGTAGTGCGAAGGAGTTTAGATGTCGAAATGGTCTCTGTATTGATCATCGCTTTGCTTATGATGGATTTCGTGATTGTGCTGACGGAAGTGATGAGCAAGAAAAGACAGGAAATTGGCACATGCAATATTGCTACAAAAGTCCGTCAGTGCACTGTGAAGAAGGAAATTACGCATGGCTTCGCTTTTCTTGTGGAGACGGGAGCTACGACTTGACGTTTGTTGGAACAATGTGTAATAGTTGTCGACAAAATGTCTTCATTACCAATTTGTTTAATAATACAGTTAAGAACGAAACTTTATGCTGGCAGGCGATGATATGCGCAATATCTCCCTTTTATTATAAGCTCTCATCCTTATTTCGGCTGTCATGTGAAAACTTATGGCCTAGTTCGAATCGTGAATATCTTAAATTGCGACTTAAGGTATGCCCTAGACTGTACTTTTTTCCTTCAAAACCAGTGATGTATCCGACCGTTCGATTCTTGTACAATGCTTCTGACGACATAAACGACCCCAAGGGCATGGCACCAACTTATATATGTTTTGATACTAATCTTTGCCCGGCATTAAGTCCTGTTGCATTTGAAATAGATGGACAGAGCTGCTCGCACTATTCCTATTATTATGTCTACCTTTTGGAACCAGATGTGGAATGGAGTATGTCAGTAGACACTTCGCTGAAAGACTTTCAGGACTTGATCTCTAAAATCCGTCTACGCTTTATGCGATGTTCTGTGCACAATTGTACTGGAGACTTAAAAGACAAGTTATATCGATGTGGTTACAGTAAAACATACACGTGCATATCAAAATATCGATTAAATGACGGAGAAGAAGATTGTATCGGTCAAGAAGATGAAGCGATGAAACCGATAACTGCTTGTGATCTAAACCTAACAACACATTTTAAATGTCATGACGGCAGTATATGTTTGCATCGCTTAAAAATCGCAAATTCGGAGTTTGACTGTTATGATGGCAGCGATGAGCTATACCCTATCACTTGTCATCCTTTAGGATCTGTTGGATGCAATTATTTGCAAAATCCATTAACTGCCAGGCTAGATATGTACTTTCAGTTTCAAGAGCTTTGCAATGGATTCATGACAGTGAATTCTATTGATAGTAATGAAACTGATGAAAGCGATTGCCAAGAATGGTACTCTTCCTGCAGCAATCGTTTTGAACCGTGTCACGTCCATAGTGGCTGGGAACAATGCATTCCAGATCAATGGCAGTGTGTTAAACGACGACTTCGTCTTTATCGACCATTGATCTTTAATGATATTGGACAATTTCCGCCGTTTGGTCTTTTTTTCAAACCAGCCATAAATCGGATGGCGCTCAATAACAGTAGGAAACAGAACATTGTATTGCCGATTTTGATCACTCAAAATCTTTCTCAGTATGTTCTTCACTTTTGTCATCGAGGAGTTCTTCTCACTACTAGAGATGGTAGTGATCGATGTCTCTGCCCGCCAAGCTATAGTGGTCGTTTCTGTGAACTACAAAGCCGTCGCATATTGGTCATTCTATCAATCAATGCATCGACTGATTTTGATCATTCAATCATTCGTTTGGCCGTGTCACTGAAGGATAAATATGAAGATATTCTAATTGATCACGAACAAATTGACCATGTTTGTTTTATGCACCGAGAGTCATGGAAACACATTGTCTATCTACGTCATCGTACAGATATGCGATCAAACCAACAACACGTTGTTCGTATTGATGCTTTTCTCGCGACAAACAAAACTGTCACATTTTTGTCTTCGTGGATATACGATTTACCATTTGAGCATCTAGTCCCTGTTCTGCGTGTCACAGCAAAGTTGGATATCCATTATATGATGGATTTCAAAAGCTTGTCGTGCCTCTCATTGTGTGCCCATGGTCAATGTGTTATTGATTCCAATCAAGCAACACAATCCTACTGCTTGTGCAATTCAGGGTGGTACGGCCCGTCTTGCGATCTTGAAGTGAATTCGTCCGCTCCTGTGTGTGCACATGGAGCTCAATTTTTATTTTCAAACAAGTGTGTTTGCTCAATATCCAACTTCGGCGATCGCTGCTTCGCCCGGTTCAATTCATGTACTGTGGCCACTTGTGCCAATGGAGGAACATGCATTTCTCTCAAAGAAAGTACCACATCCAGCGTATGCTTGTGTTCAGAGGATTTTTATGGCTCTCACTGCGAATTTCCAGTTGCTCGTGCGTTCATCAATCTGCCACATGATCAACCACTTGGAAAATCTATCCCTATTATTCTCGTACATTTACTTGACTTTCAGAGTAATATTAGTGTTACGTGGCCCAAAGATCGTTTGCTCTTCACCGATGTTTCCCAGCCATCAACACTTTCACCAATTCGACACCATAAAGAGCCATATTTACCAACATTTATCTTCGTTCAGCTCTTTCTCGACACTTCAAATAAACAAGGTGACTTTTACTTAGTTGCCCTACTCAAACGTCGCGTTCATGTACTACATGCGAATGTACTATCTGCTTATCGATGTCCACATGTCAATTTCTTACTAAACGAAACTATTATAAATGAGTTTTCTCGAATGAAACGGTACAAATTCTACTATAAAGCGTGTTTTATTCAAGGTCTCAAGTGTTTTGTCGATGAGCACTTTTTGTGCTTGTGTGATAATGAAGCTCGCTTTGAATGTCTCTGGTTCGATCACCAAGCAAGTAATTGTACACCTGAGGGTTATTGCCAAAATGGTGCTCACTGTGTTCAGACCATCTCGGGACATAATCGTCGTAAATTTGCATGTCTGTGCGCTCCGTGTATGTACGGCTCTCTTTGTCAATTCACGACTGCAGGCTATTCTATCTCACTTGACTCTCTTGTTGGAACAAGCAGCACTAATAGCGAATCAATTCTTGCATACTCTTTTTTCTTCGCTTTTCTTCCTATTTTCACGATCGGATGTGCGTGTAATATATTGTCATGCGTGGCTCTCAGTCGCTCTACATCTCAAGAATGTGGCTGTGGATCTTATCTTCTCGTATTATGCATCGTTAGCCAACTTGGTTTACTGATTTTCTTAGGTAAGTTTGTCTTCTTAATGGTACCGCACAGTGATCATGTACATTTATTTTGGTCATGTACTATATTTGAAAACGGTTTGGCTATCCTTCCCCCTCTATCTGACTGGTTGACCGCGTGCATTGCAGTCGAAAGAGCCATCACTGTTATACAGGGCTTACTATTCAATAAGTCACAGAGCAAGAAAGTTGCCCGATATCTTATTATTCCTTTGGTTATAATTCTTATTCTATTCAGCATGATGCACAAAGCATTGAATCGTGATCTTATTCAAGACCCTCGTGTAAATCACCTAAGCTGGTGGTGTGTGATGCGGTTTCAAAGTCAATGGTTGGAACAATATGATAAAATAATTAACATTATTCACTTGCTCTTACCCTTCAACATCAATCTAATAACAACGCTACTTTTTCTTCTTTTCAAAACACGACGCTTGAAATATTTCTCCATTCACGGGAGAAGCGATAAAGGCTATTGGACTCTATTTCAAGAGCAGTTGACGACCTACAGACCTTTTATTATAAGCCCTTTTGTACTCGGTTTTCTACAAGCACCTCGCCTGATCCTTGCGCTCACTTTTGCATGTATTAGAGCCCCATGGCAAATCTATTTTTACTTATTTAGCTATCTCGTCTCTTGTTTACCTCTCATGGCTGGCACACTTCTTATTTTTATTATTCCATCACCCATTTATCGTGAAAACATGATGGTATTGATTCGATATCTTCGACAACTTGTCAAACAAAAGCATTGAATACTCTAAATGAGCGTTCAACTTCTATCTAACTCATTACACTGGAAGGAAAAAGATCAAAAAGATCGACTATAACAAGAGTATGGGCGTGGGTGGATTGCGAATGTGGATTTGTGGCTGTGGCTGTGGATACCAGTTGAGTGATATAAGGGGCGTGGGTGTGAGTGAATGTGGATTTTATGGAGCATTGCACCCAGAACCACACCCATACCCTAAGATAGTTTTCTTGTTGTTTCGAATCTGTTCTATAACATTTTCTGTTGTATGCATTTGTAATCAATTGTTTCTCTGCGAAAAATCATTTTGGCATTATTGCGAATAAGTACACGGTGCGTAGTTTTTACAACGTAGACTTTTAATGAATGATTGCTGCTTTTCCCCTTGAAACCAGTACATTTCTGCTGAAGTTTCTTATATCTTCGTGAACATACAATAAAATGTTGGGAAATTTTTTTTCTGTAGCATATGTATAGAGCAGAATACAATTTACTATCTAGAAGCTGTTTTACTTTACTTCCGAATGTTAGCTTCAACCGTGCCAAAACGTTGAAGTTCATGCATATACACTGCTACTTTGTAGATACACTTAACAAAAACGTAACGAAATCGAAAAAGCGTATATATATATATCAGCTTGTAAGCGTAACGTGTAACTTCGGTGGCGTAAATTCGAAATTGATACGTTCAGAAATCATTGTCACCATGTTGGAGAGAATATTCGACAACATATAGAAACTGATTTTGTAATATAAATTGTCGCAGAAAATCGCGAATAGTAACTGGCAACAAAGATGTTACTAATAGACAGTCAAAACCTGGTATATACAGTCTATTAGTTAATTGTACCCATACATTGAAACAACTTAATGGATACAAAGTTGCTTATTATCAGGGAACTCTACGTTGACAGAAGCATCATTGAGTAAAACAATTGGTTTCTAATACTTTAGTGTGTGCCTCGGCAGCGTTCTACAAAACTTCTGTTTTTATCGCGTCATCGCGTTATAAAAAATGATGTATTGTTTTTTTCTGCCCAATAAGCCTTGATATTTTTTTTATAAAAACTTGATGCACAAAGCTAACTTTACGTGGGCTATTCAACGCAGATATTTTTATTTAAAAATTTTTCTATATTCAAATAATATTTCGTAACGCGATGACGATTTTTCAATTTTTTATTTTTTTCTTACTTAAGAAGAAACTAATTTCGCGCGATGGTTTACGACTTAAAGAGCCAGGATTTATTTGCTATCATATTCTATAAATGATGATTGATAAATCAACATAAAAATAGGATTGATTGGTCCAGACTGATAATACAAAATTCAAATAAAAACACCAATCTAATTCAATTATCACTCTGATTCAAATGAATCAGATTCTATTCTCAGTCTAATTCGAACTTTATACTCTATAAAAGAATATTGAAAAATTGTTTTGAGAGAAATTATTATTACATTTTCCATTCGTTACTCGTGAAATGGCTAAATCAAATGCCGAGAGACAAAAGCTCTATCGTACAAATGTATTAAAAAATAAATCAAAATTCGAGGAAATGAAACGAAAAGCTCGTATTCGAGATAATTCAACACGTCAAAGTTCAAAAGGTGCTTTATTGCATCAGTTACGAGCTCGACAGAAACAAGCATAAAAAAAAAATATCGTGATAAAAAAAAATTTAAAAATTTAAATGGTCATCAATCTTCGTATAAATGTTGTCAGTCATTAGGAAAAGCACTTAAACGTGCTGTTCATTCATTACCAAAAGATACTAACAAACGTATAATGGTCGTACAACATCTTGCACAAAATCTTAATATTATCTCGAAAACGACTCATCAACATACACGTCAACAACGTTCATTATCGATCGAACTGAAAGAATTAGTCATTCAATTTTATCAACGAGATGATATTACCTATCAATTACCTGGTAAACGTGATTATGTCACAGTCACAGATGATAATGGTAAATCAATGACATTACAAAAACGAATTTTATTATATAACATACGTGAAACATATCAATTATTTGTTAATGAATATTCGAATAAAAATGTCGACTTGTCATTAACTTCATTTAATGAATTACGTCCAGTGAATATATTGATACATTCTTACATGCCTCACCATAGTTGTTTATGCATTTATCATGAGAACGTAAATTTGTTGATAAAAACCATTGTCAAAACATATTAGTTGTGATGGTTTAAATTCACTTCAAGAATTCACGTCGATGCTTGTTTGTGATGAACAAGAAGAAAAATGTATGTTTAGTTGTTGCCATTTATGTTCACATAATTTTGATAATAATATTATGAAAAATGTAATTAATCCAACTAAACGTATTCAATGGTTTCAATGGGTTTTACAAGATGGAAAAACAAAAAAACATTGAATTTAATGATGCAATTAATCAATGTTTATTAACTTTAAAGGAAAAAATTGAACCATTCTTGAACCATGTTTTTATTAAACGACAACAAGCTGCATTTTTTGAAAAAATGAAAATTATTTCAAATGATGAAATTATTTGTATACAGGTGGATTTTAGTGAGAATTTTCGTTTATGTATGCAAAATGCTGTTCAAAATTCTTATTATTCTCAAGATGCTGTATCTTTATTTACTGCTTATGTGTGGTATGCAGGTGGTGGTGGTGAATCTTTCGTGTACATTTCCAACAACTTAACACATGATAAATACTGTGTCAATGCTTCAACTGATAATTTATTCGAACAATTAACCCAACGATTTCAACATCTACAACAAATTCATATACTTTCGGATGGATCAAGCCAGCAGTTCAAACAGAAATTTTTGTTTCGAAATGTATGTCGTTTCTCACAACAACATAAGGTAAACAGTGATATTGATTTTTAGTCAATTTTTAGCAATAATCAATCGTTAAATTCTAGGTAGATTTAAGTTGGCATTATTTTGCTACCTCTCACGGCAAAGGTGTCGTGGACGCCGTGGGAGGGACTTTGAAACGTCTCGTACATCGTGCAATTATGAGTGGTGAAAGATGCACCTCGGCTGCAGATTTTGTGAAAATTGCTCAATCAAAAACAACTACAATCAATCTCAGAGAACTAACACAAGATTGGATCGATGAATCGAAAGGTCAACTTGAACAGTTGTTCTAAGCAACTAAAAGTGTTCCGGAAACTGAAAAAATAATTCAATAAAAGCTCTTCAAAATAATTCAATTGAATATGGATATTATTCAAGCACCTCGACAAAAAAAAAGTTTCGATTTTCTGTTTAAAATGTAACACTGTATAGACTATCGATTTTCTTGTAATTTAACTAGTCTTCTCTCATTGAAACAGGGTGTGGGTGCGGGGTGTGTGGGTGTGGGTGTGGGTGTGGGTGTGGGTGTGGGTGTGGGGGTGGGTGTGGGGGTGGGTGTGGGGTATAAGTGTGGGTGTGGGGGTGTTTTAAGAGAAGACTAACACCCACACCTACACCTAACACATGCTTCCGCAGCTGCACGAACATCACACACTCCATACCCCCACCCACGCATACCGACACCTACCCACATCCACACCCTGAATAGCAGTTCATGGCTTGTTTTTTTGAATGGAGTCTTGTTTTTGGATGCTCGTACATAACTATTATATTCTTCTATATCTATAACATGCATGAATGATTTCATCGATGTTTTTTCTCCTTCAATGATAAATTAAAAAGAGGGTGTGGGGTGTGGATGTGAGTGTGAGTATGGGTATCGAAGTCTTCTTCAGAAAAACACCCACACGCACACACTCATCCGCATCCACATATCCACTCCTACACCCCACATCCACACCCACACCCACACTCACGCCCACACCGACACCCACACCCACACCCACACCCCACACCCACACCCACACCCACACCCACACCCACACCCACACCCACCCCCACACCCACCCCCCCCCCCACCCCCACCCCCCACC